TGAGACTATCTTTGGGAGAGGGGATGGTTGGGAGGGTGCTGGGATTGAACCCAGTAGTTTTTTGGGGGGAGGGAATGTACTGGGGATTGAACTCAGGGGCACTCGACCACTGAACCACATCCCCAGCCCTATTTTGTATTTTATTTAGAGACAGGATCTCAGTGATTTACTTAGCCCCTCACAGTTGCTGAAGCTGGCTATGAACTCAAGATCCTCCTGTCTCAGTCTCCTGAGCTATGAGTATTATAGGCATGTGTCACCGTGCCCAGCATGAACCCAGTAGCTTTACCACCCCTACCCCTTTTTACTTTTTGAGACAAGGTCTTGCTAAGTTGCCCAGTCTGGCCTTGAACTTGCCAGATACATTCTTTTTAAGCTTACTCTTTATTTTTATAAAGTCATATGTATCTACCATTCAAAGAGTCAGTTCACCAAGTTTCTAATGAAGAACAATATGCTCTGTCCTCATACCCTATTTTCTACTCCCCAGAAAAGACTATTTTTCATTCTTCTTAGCTGATTTATTTGGTGTTTATCTTGGTATTTCTAAAAAGCACCCTGTGGCTACACTCTAGTGTTTCAGTTTTAAGTATTATTTATTGATTTTCTGCTATTGAAAATGATGGTTTTGTTGTTTATCCACACTTCATTCCTGCATGCCTTCCTGTTCTGTGTCTTCCCAGAAAAAACCATACTGAAGCTGTAGTCTGTTTGTGTGTGTGTGTGTGTGTGTGTTGTTGTTGTTTGTTTGTTTGTTTGTTTTGGTTGTTAAGGTAGTGGTAGTAGTGGTGATACTGCAGATTGAACCCAGGGCAGCTCTATCACAGAACTACATTCCTAACCCTTTTATTTTTTATTTTGAGGACAGGGTCTCACTAACTTGTAGAGGCTAACCTCAAACTTGCAATCTTCCTGAGCTGCTGGGATTACTGCATGCACTACTGTAGTCCATTTTGATCATAATGACTGTGTCAACACTATTTACAGTGAAGCCATGTAGTGTCCCATGACTACTCTTTCCTTCTAATACAACCTGTGGCTTTTCCCTGATATCAGTAATTGTATTGTTTTGTGATTCATTTGTTTAGGTGTCCTGTATTATATACTAATTTGACCCCAGACTCCCCTAATTATGTGGATCTCCTTTCTGTATAAATGCATTGGGTATTCTGTGAAGTTCACCGTATGGAAAGAAAGCCTGTCTCTTGCTTCTGCCCTGCTCTCTTCTACTCCTAGGCCAGGCACTCAAGATTTCTTGTCTTGGGACCTTCAGCACCACCACTCCAGTTCTCATGCCTGCCTCTTGTGTTAGAGCTCTTCCTTTTAACTTTGATTTTTTGGGGTTGTTTGTTTGTTTGGTTTTTTTTTTTGTTTTTGTACTGGGGATGAAGCCCAGGGGTGCTTAAACACTGAGCCATATCCCAGCCCCTTCTTATACAGAAACAGGGTCTTGCCAAGTTACTTAGAGCCTCTCTAAGTTGCTGAGGCTGGCTTTGAACTCGAGATCCTCCTGCCTCAGCCTCCCGAGCCACTGAGATTACAAACATGAGCAACTGCACCAGGTTCCCTGTTGTTTTGGTAGAGGTTATTATTGTCAGTTTATTGAAAAATTAAACAATATTTTCAGTTTGTATCAAAAATTGTTTCCCTGAGAATATTAAAGGCACTGCTCAAATTTTCTCTCATCCTCCAGGGTTCCTGTTGAAAAGTCTGATTCATTCTGATTTTTTTTTCTTTTCCCATTATGATTTTGATCCTTTATATGACAATTTCTTTTTCCTTTGGAAGAAAACTTCTCTTTATCTTTGATATTCTGCACATTCACTAAGATGGGACTCGGACATTTGTAGAACACTTACAATCTGGGAAGTTTTCTTGAATTGATGTATTGATGACCTCCCTGCCCCCTTCTCTCTGCTTTGTTTTTCTAAAACTCCTGTTAGTTAATAATTGGACCTTTTAGATGCCCACTTTTTGCATATCTACTCTTTTCTCTCCTTGTCTTTTTCTTTCTTTTTCTGAGAGCTTCCTTCTGCTTTATCTTCTAACCCTTGCATTGAGTTATGTGGTTCCTCCATGAAAATATGTTTTTCTAGAGGATATTTTTTCCCAAACATATTTTTTTAATTAGAACTGGAATCTCTTTAATAAATTATGTGTATTTTATTCTTTTTTAGTTTATTTTTGTTTTTTATTTATTGTTTTAATTTTATTTTAATTGGGTATATGATAGCAGAATGCATTTTGATTCATTGTACACAACTGCAGCACAACTTTACATTCTATGATTATACATGATGTAGCGTCACTCCATACGTGCAGTCATACATGTGCCTAGTAGGGTAATAATGTCCATCTCATCCCACCATCTTTCCTACCCCTATGCTCCCTCCCTACCCCTCCCTACCCTTTGCCCCATCAAATTTCCTCCATTTTTCCCATGTTCCCCCCATTATGGATCAGTATCCACTCATCAGAGAAAACATTTGGCCTTTGGTTTTTTGGGATTGGCTCACTTCATTTAGCATGATATTCTCCAACTCCATCCATTTACCGCAAATACTATAATTTCATTCTCTTTTAATGCTGAGTAATATTTCATTTTATATATATATATATATATATATATATATATATATATATATATATATCACAGTT